CCACAGACCTGTTAATCTCAGTAATGAAATCCCACACCGATTCAATAGGACCAGACGGCATTCCTGTCAGATTAGTAAAAATATGTCTTCCTGAAATCCTCTCAGCTCTCCTTTTTATCTACAATTTCTCCCTTCAGAATTCTGCATTCCCTACCTCTTGGAAAAAGCCATTGTTCTTCCTTTAAATAAAAAGCCTAATCCATCATTACCCGAAGATTTTTCGTCCAATGTCAATTCTTTCTAACCTCTCAAAGCCTCTTGAAAGACTGGTGCAATCTCAAGTCTCCAAGTTTCTCGAAAAGTTCAACCAATTTGATCCTCTCCAATCTGGTTTCCATCTCGGCTCTTCCACACAATCTGCCTTAATTAAAATTACCAACGACATTCAATCTGCAATAGATGATAAAAAATAAACTGTCCTTATACTTCTCGACTTCTCCAAAACCTTCGATACCATTAACCATTCCATCCTCTTCAAAAAACTAAAATCATTATCTTTCTCCAATAGTTCCATCTCCTGGTTCCAATCTTTCCTTTCCCAACATACCCAAGCAGTCCCCATATCCAATTAACCACTATCTAACTACCTTCCTTTATTCTCTGGAGTTGCCCAGGGTTCAAGCATATCTCCTCTTCTTTTCAGTTCCTACATTAACGACCTACATAATTCAATTCTCCATTGTTCCCACCACCTTTATGCAGACGATTCCCAGATCTACCTAACCTTTTCTCCCTCTGAGTTATTGGTAGCATTTGCCAAGATTCAAGAAGACCTTGATCGAATCAGTGCCTGGACAAATGTAAATCTATTAAAGTTAAATGCTGCCAAAACCCAGGCTATTGTCATTGGTTCCAAGCCCCTTATTAGATCCCATACTGACTTTTCCAAATTACACCTTAATGACCAGCCAATTTCCTTCTACTCCTCAGTTAAAAATTTAGGATTATTCATAGATCAAAATCCTGGAACTACCATATTTCTCACATTTCCCGTGGCACAATTTCTACCCTTCAACTATTTCATCGCATCCGCCATATCCTACCTCAACATACCCATAGACTCCTAATTTCCTCTCTCATCTTCCCCCACTTTAACTACAGCTGTTTGGTGTATGATGGCCTCTCGGTGGAGCTCCGTGATAGACTGAAAAGATTAATGAATAGCTGCGTAAGATTTATTATTGGTGTCCCGAGGTACTCCCATGTCTCTCACCACTAAACTGAGTTAAGGTGGCTCTTCCCCTCCTTTCGAAGACAATATTTCCTAGGTACGTTCCTTTGTCAAATCATCAACAACCATCGTCCTTCTTACACCTACAACCTCCTCCAATTCAAGTCCTCAATCCATTCCCTATCACCAAGATCTCGACCTTCTGACCTCTACATCCCTTTTCACAGATCTGCCTCATTTCAAAACTCCTTTATAGCTTGCGCTGTCAATTTCTGGAATTCTCTACCTATCAAAATTCGGCATTCCCCCTCCATATCCAATATATATATATTGTAATGTTCACCTTTATTATAAGTGAGTAAAAAAGATTTTAATATATTAATGTTGAACAATTAAAAGGCAAAAGGCAAGCAAATCTAGTTCTACTAGTGCAGGGAAAAGAAAATGGCTGCTCTGTAGTTTCCTCAGAAGGAAAATCCCAAAGAGGAGAGAGACAAAGGTTTTTGTTTTGGCAAGCAGTTGATGTTTGGCTGGAGTGAAGAGAGGATAGGAGAAGGGACCTGGCTCCAGTGGATAAAACCCAGTAATAGTATTACCTTTTTGGAAGTTGTGTTTGGCAGAACATTGGAAAGCATTTGAAGACATTAATTTAGTGCCACAAAGGAAGAAACAGTGTATATAGAAATAAAGGTTAGCTTGCCAATTCATACCTGACTTTATTTTAAAATCAGTGTTTAATTTTAATATAAATAATAATAGTTTGTCTAAGTTGATCTGATTGTCAGTAATCCACATCTGAGATAAATACATATATTAATATTGTTATAATTTTGTTTATTATTAAACAACCTCTTATTTATTTAGGAAGTATCCCAATGGTAAGAAGTGAGTTTCCGAGGTAATATTATTATTTGTAAAATATAAGAGAGATGTTAAAATTTTTTTTTATAAGTGTATTAATATATTGAATTGAAATTTATAAGTATTTTATCTTAGGTATGGGTTACTGACGATTAGATCAAAACACTCAAACTATTATTATTTATATTAAAATTAAACACTGATTTTAAAATAAAGTCAAGTATGAATTGGCAAACAATTATTTGGTTTAACCAAACTAGCCAAAACTTTAGTTCCAGATCAAAGAGCTGCTTTTTCACATACATTTAATAAATATTTTGGGTGATAAATATTCAAGAAGCAGTCATTATAAAGTTTTTATTAGTGCCGATGTTTCAACCCAAAAATGTAGGTCATCATTATAGCAGACAATTTTTAAATGAAATCAGAGATATAATATTATACAACCAATAATGGTTAATAATAAACTATAGTGATTGGTGGTACATGAATCTTAACTAATAATATAAGTTATTGATTCAATTACGTTGTTTAGGGCAATACTGGAGAGGTCTGGTGCAAGGAAATTATCCATCCCAACATCCTTACCACCAAAAAATCAATGTAACCAAAAACCTGATAACTCGCAGTGAACCGACCCACAATTCCACGACAATAACCTACCTAAACTACACAAGATCCTGAAATCCAATGCCTTTTCTGATAGCATTATAAAAAACCTAATTAAAAAATCAATCCAAATCTCATCTTCACCAGTCTCCCACAAACTGCTCTCAATCTCCCACAATGAATCGCCAATACACATCCATTCCATCCCGCCCCTATCTCAAAAAAGCTTTAACTTCCAAATTCCCCATCTACAAATAGTTTTCAAAAATATCAGTAAATTGATAAATCTATATACCAAACTCAAAGATGCTGTTCCTACAACAATCAAATATTGTATACTATATCACACACTCAAGTCCAAGCTGCAATTCTTCTTATATAAGAAAAACCCAAAACTATTTAAAAAAGTGAATATATCAACACAAATACAGCATCTTCACATGAAAGCCGCTTTCCTCAAAACTAGCCAAACTGCCATAACCCTTAACCATACATTTGATTTTGAAAACCCAAACATACCACAGCTTCCAATCACCAAAAATGACTACATTCTGAAGTTGTATTCATTAAATCCAGTAAACCATGAATTAGATAAAGAAAAGATCTGCAACACATATTTTTTGCCTCCTAAAACTATAGGAGTCATCAATCCTACACCCGGTTGGTGTGAGTTGCCTCCAGTAGGCTGACGGCTTCACATACCCGTTGCGGGAAGCAATGTCGGGCAACATGGCTTTCCTTTGTGCGGGCGGTCACCCATCCAAGTGCTAACCACGCTTGGCATTGCTTTTATATATATATGTATATATAATACATAATAAATACATATATATATATAATACACATATATATATATATATATATATATATATATATATATATATATATATATATATATATAATATATATATATATATATATATATATATATATATATATATATATACATTCTCAATATAAATATATACTATAGAAAGGTGCAGATATGTTTATACTTATACTATTAAAACTATGTAATACATAATATAATATATATTTCTATTATGATTAATATTGTTATTCTTAAAATATTGTATAATATATTGTCCTACATATCATTTCAATCCATTACAATTGTCTTTATTATAAATATTATTTGGCTAACCATTATACCTTTAGTATACCTTCAATCAAACTATGTTATATTTATATTGATTGGCACCTCTTGTTTATGTTTAATTTCATTACTAGCCAATAGTCAAAATTCTGTAACCATAAGAAACAACGTAAATCTTGTACACATCTTGAATATTTAGTCAGGAAATTATTTACATTCTACAAACAGAAATGTTAACCCCCTTCATCCCTTCGGCAATGTTTACCTACCTTTTGCTACCTGAAAAAGGACAACTGGGAAATCCTTCCCAGACCCTTTTACTTACCTACCAAATGTGTCAGTACTTGAACACCTTCAGTGCTCGACACGGGCGGATCTACGGGGGGGAGGGGGGCTTTCGTGCTGAAGCCCCCCTCCCCCCAAAATGGAAAAATATAACCATGTTTTATGGGAAAAAAAATTTAAAAAATACCTCTTAAAGTATTATTGTTCGTGTAATTACATTTAAAAGTACTTAAGGAATAACTTAAACACCATTTCATATAGGTAGTTTGGTTCTTTCTGTTTTTCCAAAGTAATTATTGTTATTTTTATGGAAAAAATAGGTTTCGGGCTGAAGCCCCCCTAAAATTAAATCCTGGATCCGCTAGTGGTGCTCGAACCACGGTTAATAAGAGAAATTATTACAACTTTTTATAAATGGATTATATACATTATTTTTAGTTTGAATAACTTTTTACATATTTCATTTTTAATATAGTGTATTGTAATATTAGTTAAGATTCATGTACCATTAATCACTATAGTTTATTATTAACCATTATCGGTTGTATAATATTATATCTCTGATTGCATTTAAAAATTTTCAGCCCTGATGATGACCCACATGTTTGGGTTGAAATGTTGGCACTAATAAAAACTTTATAATGACTGCGTCCCGAATATTTATCACCCATGATATTTAGAATAGTTGACTAACTTTCAATAATTAATAAATATTTCTAATGTCATGGACCAAAAATTGTTGGCCCTAGAAAAAAAATTACAAATAATGTTCAATTTTTCCTAGGGAAACAACATTTAACATCTTTTCAACTTTTAGCAAGCAGGAAAAAAAAAGAAATATTAAACATTATTCAGTTTTACTAAAAAGAAACAAAATTTAAATGTTGAATATATAGAAATGAAATTATTATTCTTATCATTATTCAACTTTTAATTTATTTTTTAAAAACTCAATTAAAGTTTTGAAATTACTCTTACCTCACCAACTGTTCCAATCCTAAACCTTTTGCACAGATTTTTAGCATCTTCTGAGTGGCCAATATCATCGAAACAATCTGTACCATCTCCACCAGCAACATTAGCTATCACTTCTTCACCACCCGGATGCTAGCATAAATTTAAATGGCATAGTATTCAATACTACTAAAAAATAAACTTAAACAAATCCAACTTAATATAATAATTTATAGTACCTCATCTAAAAACTTGGTCAAATCGTGGACATATCCATGAATTACGACCCAATAGGTGCCATCTGAACCATTGTGTTTCTTGATTTCATTCCATGTGTAGACCTCCATAGCACTGGTAAAATTGATCAAACAATATAATGTTACTACTACAAACTCCTTACTAGACACTAAGGGTTACATCCTTGGGAAGCAAGGATATTTGAAGTCAGAAGATTAATTTGATGCGCATAATTTGAAATTGTAATTCGAATATTACCTTATCATTCTCAAAGAAATACAGTTTCAAAAAAAAAAAAAAAAAAAGAAAGAAAAAAGAATTGAGATATCTTTTGAATTAAATTATCAAACCACATGATATACCCAAAATGTTAATCTCCCTATCAAGTGAGTTTTTATCAGTCAAACAGAAAACATCCCAAGGAAGCTTACAAATTACATTAAAAAAAATATATATATATATAGGTCAAGTAAAGTATTATTTTTACTTTTTTTTTAATTATCCCTTCACTTCTTATATGGTAATGCTACGAAATATTTCATCAGAAATTTACAAAATTATAATTGAAAATTTTATTTTCATCAATTAACAAAATATAACTTAATAATGCACTTTGTGTTTACAGCGAAAGAATAGTTATAATTTGGCAATTTTATAATAGATTAATTTGGCAATTATTATGCATTGGGATATGGAAAAAAAATTAAGAATGTAAAAATCAATCACTGATATTGAAAAAATATCTACCTCATTAAAAACCTCAGAGAATAATTAAGTAATATATAAATTCCCATTTAATATTAAAAGTTAAAAACTATTAATATTAAAAACTGCATAATAAGATTAGGGAATATAAAGGTATTATAAGTAATAAAAAAAATTGGAGGCTATAAGTTGGAGAGAAATGCCCTTGAAGTATTAGGTCATGTTTCTTTTATATATATACAGCAACAAATTTAGGATTTAATTTTGGCATATACTTTTTTTTTCTTTATAATTTAATTAATAGTTACTCTGGAAGAAAAAGAAAGGAACTATTTAAAATGATGTTAGGCCTGAGATTGAAGCTCTGTTAATAACAAAAAAAAAAAAAATTAAAAATGCTAATTAAAATAAAAATATGCTTTTAGAGATAATTTTTTTCTTTAGACATGATTATATTTAGTAGTTGTACATGTGTTAAAATTTCAAAATAATATATTATTGTGATATGGCTCAAATAGAAACAAATATATAAAAATTAAAGATTTATTATTTTTCTATTTTGGAGACTTCAGCCGAAAAACATTCCCTCCCTCATCTCCCATAGATCTGCCAGTGTTTAAACACACATTTTTGAGGAATATAATATACTAAATGTTCCTCTGAACTCTAAATATTACAATTCAATTTATAATTATATTTAACTGGTATGAAAACAAAAGAAATATTAATGATTAGGAATATTATTTATTAATTATGCTACATATTTCTCATGAAAATCGGATCTTATTGACTAGTTGTTGATTTTTAGAACTGATTATTATTTTATCAGTAACCTCTTAACCATCATACATGAATTGTATAAGAACTGTACCTGATATAGAAAAAGTTACTAACCAAAGTAAATGCAATTACTGCTCCAATTTTCTAATAAATAGTCAATTTCAAACAACCACTATTTGTTATACTATAGTAAAAATAAATAAATATATATTTCATATCATATATGAAATATTATATTTAATTTTCATCTAAATTATGTATCATCAAACACGATGACTTAGCTTCCCGGCATCCCCACTTTATCTAGGTTTTTAAAATGTTTGTAAACTATAGGTTGTTGGTTTTGTTCACTTTATTTTAGTTTAAGTTTTAAAATCAAGAGAGCAGTTGCCTTGTATTTCACCAGATAAATAGAGTGCCTTTGCTCTCCTTGATTTCTTGTTAATCTGGGAGTGATCTTTATATAAGATTTTCTCATACAAATTTTATCCTTTAAAACTTTAAATCTCATTGTTTTGCATTTTAGTTAAACTTTTATTAGTTTATTTTAAGAATTCCCTCTACCTGATAATGAAAGCCAGGTTGGCCGTCCCTCATCAGTTTTTCTGTGATCTGGTTTCAAACAACACCTCTTTCTGCGAGAGATGTTCACGGAGAGAGCCGCCCCGGTCGCACGCAGCCCGCCTTTGCGCTGACCCGCTGAGAGTGGACTCGATGCGCCCGCGCGGCATCCTTCGGGGCGGCGCCTCCTCTACGGTGCGTCTGGGGCGAATCGCTCAACCTGCGGTGCGCGGTACACAGCGCCCGGCGGCCCCACCGCCTCCTCCCTCCCGCCGGGGGGGCTGGCAGCGGCGAGGCCTCCAGCGCGGCCGCCCAGAGCACGAAGCGTCATACGCCTGCTGCGGAAGGAGTCGGTGCCGCACGCGGGTGTCCCGGTCACGCGTCGTTCCATGTTCTTCCATTCCATGTGCCTATCTTCACGTCCTCGTCGTGCAACCCGGGCAACGTACAAAAGTACGGCTAACGATGAAGGCTACAGGTCGGCGCATACCTGGGAATGATCTTAGGATGTATCCTGAAAAGCGCCTCTCTGTCCACCATCGCCATGTGGGCGTAAGTGGCAGGGCCCCTCCAAAGGCGGCAACCCCGCCATATGCCTACTTACCTGCTCAGTGCGGAGGGGGGCAACCAAAGGAAGAGGCTTCTAAGTCGGATACGGGTTGCCAGCCCGTATCCGACTAAAACCACGGGCACGGATGGAAAAAGATACAACTTAAGGGGCGTCCCACAACAGGACGTCCCTCCTGTGGAACAGGCTCCAGGGGGACCAGTGGCCGGGACGTCGTCCCAGGCAGATGATGGCTTCGTGTGCCAAATGTGTGGACGTACCTTTGCCTCCAAAAAGGGGCTGGGAGTCCATCTCAGGGCGGCGCATAAAGAGGCGGCAAATGAACAGGTAAACCTGCCGGCCGTCAAAGTCCGATGGAGTGATGAAGAGTTGAGGTTAATGGCACGAAGGGAAGCAGAGGCGTTGCTTCAGGGCAATCGCCACATTAATATGCACTTGCTCCCATTGTTCCCCGACCGAACGCTGGAGTCAGTAAAAGGCGTGAGGCGCCGTGCTGACTATAAGGCCTGGGTGGTGCAGGCCCTGGCAGAACTCAGAGCGCGGCCCCCTATACCGGAACCTTCCGGGCAGGGGATGAATGCACCAGATGCATTCACGGCTGATGACCTCCCCAATCCGGCATGGGTATCTGATCTGCATGAAGCAGTGAAGGACCTGATGCAGCAGACAATAATGCCTGGAGAAGGCTTCTGCGCGGAAGAGCTACGCTCTCTCGCCGGAAGAGCGTTGGAAGGGCATGATGTCTGTGTGGAATTGGGGAATTGGTTAGGAAATTGTTTTCCTAAAACCATAGAGGCCGGGCTCAAGAAGCCACAAGGATTGCACACTAAAGAACCGCGCCATCTTTCTAAGCGTATGCAAAGGAAGAGAGAATATGCCAGGGTTCAAGCAATGTGGAAGCGTGACCGCACTAGGGCCGCACGTGAAGTGCTTGATGGAGGGCAGAAAAATAGAGGGACCCAAACCCTTGAGGAATTCGAGGAGTTTTGGGCACCCCTAATGGAAAATGAAGGTATCACGGGGGAGTCTCAACCTCTTCGGAGGATGAGTGAACCCATTGATAATGACCTCATTATGAGCCCCATCAGCACAGACGATGTGAGCGCCTGGAAAGTGTCGGCACGGTCCGCAGCGGGACCCGATGGTATATCGGCCCGCAGCTGGAATGCAGTCCCCCATACGATCAAGGCCCTGATGTTTAACATCCTATTGATCCAAGGCAAGATACCTGATAAGCTGAACGAGTCTCGCACGGTATTTGTTCCCAAAGTCGACTGTCCGAAGGGTCCGAGCGACTACAGACCGATCTCGGTTGCGTCTGTGGTCATACGGCACCTTCACAAAATACTGGCCGCCAGGTTAGGGAGGATCCGTATGCTTGACATACGCCAACGAGCCTTTGTCCCGGTCGATGGAGTTGCTGAAAACATCGTTTTGTTGGACGCGCTCCTCGCTGAGGCTAGGTCATCGCTGAGGGAGATCCACCTGGTAACGCTTGATATTGCGAAGGCCTTCGACAGCTTGGACCACGGGGCAATCCTGCGGATTCTGAAGGCGAGGGGCCTTCCTGGATCATTCATCAGATATATTTCCAGCGTTTACAAGTCTTCGGGGACAATATTTCAAGTCGGAGGCAGAACCGGAAGGAAGGTCAGCGTTAACAGAGGTGTACGCCAGGGAGATCCAATATCGCCATTGTTATTTAACTTGGCGATGGATGAAATCCTGGCATCAATACCCAGCGACGTGGGATTCCGAATTGGTGACTCCACCACCTCATGCCTTGCATTTGCTGACGACCTTGTGGTCGTAGCCTCGTCGCGAGTGGGCATGAGGCTCGCGCTGGATCAAGTGGTTAGCGCTGCCTCCGGACTGGGACTGTCCATCAACCCGACAAAGTGCCATGCTCTCTCTATCATTCCTGACGGGCACGCTAAGAAGTACAAGGTTATCACAGATCAGTTATTTGAACTGGGTGGTACACCTCTTATGCAATCCAGTGTGGTCGCTAAGTGGAGGTACCTAGGAGTTGAAATAAATTTCGGGGGAACCATGCCGGTGGAGAAGGATTTGACGGGGTTGCTGAGGAATGTTACCAAAGCACCTCTGAAGCCTCAACAACGGCTGGAAATCCTCCGCACATACTTGATACCCAGACTGATCCATGGCCTTGTGCTTGGCAGCGTAACTGATGGTAGACTCCTCCAGCTTGACCGTCAGGTGAGAAGGAGTGTACGTGGGTGGCTTCGGCTACCCAGGGATGTAGCGATCGGGTATATCCACGCTCAAGCTAAAAGTGGAGGGCTCGGTATTCCTAGTCTTCGGACGATGGTGCCGGAGCTCCTTGTAAAACGAATTAAGCGTATGGAGGAAGCTGACAGCCCGGTGGTGAGGGCTGCCTGGCAATCTCGCCGAATTCAGAAGAGATATAACTGGGGTGTGAAGATGCTATCCCGGTTGGGTATCCCGACCGACGGCCCTAGGGCCGGACGGAAGGGATACTGGGATTCTCGGCTCCACACCTCAGTAGATGGATTTGAATTGAAGGAATCGGCGAGAACCAGGGCTAGTACTAGGTGGAT